GGGGGGAGCTGGAAAATGATGCAGCTTGTTCGGTGGATTAGGCAGCCCAGCCTGGAAGTGGCAAACTGAAAGAGCTGCAGATTTGAAAGCCCAGAGGGATTATTCGGCCGTGTCGTCTGTCTTCCAGCACAACAGAGGCCAGCAAACTTCACCCAGTGCTTTCTGTAGTGAGTCCAACAATCTGCATAACGTCCTGGCAAGCCTCTTAGGTTATGATTTATAAATTTTTAGTAGGGTTAATAATGTTGGAAGCAGCAGGAAAAGGGTGTTGGCAAACACAAGCAGTTCTAGCAGGAGTTGTAGAAAAGCATGTTCATCATGTCAGCACTTTGGAGGCCTGGAGAGCTTGTGATGGGAGGTTTCAGAAAAAGACTGCATAAATAGAAGGAGGGCTCTATAAACAACTGTGATGAACATGCTTAAAGTATGGAGGAAGGAGAGAGCAGTCAGACTTACTGATGCTCTAGATCGTGGTGACTTTGGTCCAGCCAGCAAAATTTAACCCTGAAGAACGGCCCAGTTCCAATCCCAGCTCCAAGAAACTCCTCAAGGCTGCCAGAAATGGCATGCCACAAACAGGCTGCCTTTGGAAAGCGTAATTCGAGTGTCATCCCTGCTGTATGGATTGAGCAGGGGCTGGATAACCCAGCAGCTCATCAGCTGATACTGCTGTCGGTTCCTGGAAAGGACAAATCTCCCTCGAGCTGGTGACCCTTAGATAGCCAGCATGCCCATGGGCATGGGCTGTTAGAGCTGCTCACCCCAGGGCTGGGACAGGGGCATACACCTCTGAACTGGGACATCACTGCAGCAAAGGATAGCAGAATTGGCAAATTCTCCTCTGCGGTTGTTTCCACGCCTCTGCTCGTCTATCTACCTTTGCAATGACTCCTGCACTACAACATCCCTGTCCCTACAAAATCCCCTCCACTGCCATCCCCTCTTGCTTTTCTTTGACTTGCTGAGAACCATGGTGCCAATGACGAAGCCTTAATTCCTGGGCACTCTTCAGAAAAGGTCCTGCAGTCTGTATCTATTAAAAAACCCACTTATACTACATTTCAAACCATCAGAGAATTGCACAGGCATTGAATTGTTTGTCCTTCGCAAGACAAATGCAAATCTGGCCAGTTTTATCACACTATTTAAGTAAGGAGGGAAACTGAGGCAGAGAAGGATTGTGTTTGCCCAGTGCCAGGCAGCGGAGACTGCCTGACTCCTCCAGATAACACCGTCATTACGCGCCAGGCTGCGTGGGGCGGAGGGTTAGCAAAACATCCATCGGCAGCTGAGCACGGGATCAGAGGGGGGAGGCCGGGAGGATGGGGAGGGGGGGGGACAAGAGGGCCACTTACATGGTAATGTTTCTGCACGGTTCTTTTGGATCATTATGCAGAGCTGTAGCACCAGTTGAGGGGCGCTCTCGAGGAAAGTTTCCAGGAGGCGCAACATATTTACGTCTGCATATTCGTACATCATAGCCCAGTAGAAACGCCGCTGGTGTTCCTTCCGCCTCTGACTCTGGATCCCCAGGTACATAGTTCGGATATACCTGCAGGAAACAGGAGGAAAAGCCGAGCGTGAGACTTGGGCATGCATCAAAACCCGAGGGGGACAGGGCTGCAGGCCAGCTGTACGGGTAGAGGGAGGTTGTCTGGGTGAAATGGAATGTGGAGTGTCTACACAGCTCTGATACCATCTGTACTGCAGGAGTGCGAAACCTTTCACTTGCAACACCCAAATGTGAAGCATGGGGGTAGAAGATGCTCATGAAGTATTTGCACACGAAAACAGCTCCCTCACTTTGTTCTCATGATGAGAAGAGGAGAAGCTACTAAGGAGGAGATCATCTAAGCCCCTTCAGCACTCTAGTAAGGAGCTTCCCTCACGGACCCCCGAGATATGACCCTATTGCATCACAGGTGGAGCAACGAGACACCACCTTCACCTTGAGCATATGCATGACCCACAAATGCAAAAAGCCACAGCTTGCCACCGGTCAGCTATTCAGACTTTGAGCAACGTTGGACGAAAAGCAGGTGTTTCTTGCATGGACAGGTACTGCTCTGTCACCTCTGTTTCCATATCAGGCATGCAAGGAGACCTGGAAACCTCACCCTGGGGACACAACTTCCCTTCAGGGAACATTTAGCCAACCTTTGTAAATGGAGCTGATCAAGCCAGAGTTGCCCAAGGTGCCCACATGTCACTGGACTCACAGCGTTCAAGAAAGTAAGCAACTGATAACAGGTTCCTTTCTATTTCTTGCTGATATTAATGATCTAATATTGTGTCTTTTTCCTTCTTATCTTGAGTGGTGGTTGTAACCTTGTGCTCTGAAATTCGAGATGGGAATCGTTTCACCTAACGCCGACCCTGAAGTTAGTCATCTGAGCTAGTCAATGGATGGAAATGTCCCCTCCCGGGACTGTTCATCTGTCCCACCGCAGATGCCAGCATGACGGTGGGATGAAGTGCCTTCTGGAGGCTCTGGGAGGGGCTCAGCACAAACTGGGCTTTCGCCAAAACGATTAGATCATCCTTTGCCACGCAGGGCGAGACTGCACAGCAAGGAGGAGCAGGAGGAAAGGACATAAGCCTCGACATCCTCTGTGTCTCCAAATAACAGCTGGGGACAAGGAGCTGGGAGAGAAGCAGAGGTAGCTCTGCAAGCCCTGCCCTTTCTCCAGCACCTTGTCCTTCCTTCCTGTTCGCGGTTCGCAAGCACAGGAGATGAAAAATCCCGAAAGAAGACACAAGGACACAGAAAACGATGCAGGAAAGCCACCAGATGGGGCTCGACGCTCGAGGAAACGCTACGCCAGTCACCTGCAACACTGGGGACACTGGTGTGACATCCCCATCAGAGCCCGAGTGGGGTGGAAATGCCCGTGGACTACCCACTCTCCCGTGGACACCCGTCCTCCTCCCACCCCCCAACATGCCCAAGGCCACTGCTTGCGCTCGCCATTTCCCTGGAAGCACCCAAGCCCAGAAGCTGCAGGATGACACGGGAATCCTGCCTTCCCTTCACGCGTGCGAGAAATTAAATAGACGTAGTTTAGCTGGGAGGGCAAAGCTGGGGAGAGTGAGTTGCAATGGCTCAAGGACAAAGCAGAGAAAAAGAGCATGCAACTGTTTTTTTGTAATATCAGTGACACAGGGCCACCGAAAACCAAGCCGGTGCTGCCTATAAGGTGCTGCCCAAGTGCATTTGGGCAAAGACGGCATCATCTCTGCCAAAGGGATATTTAGCAAATCTGTCCTGTAGTCTTGCACGGCCTCCGCTTCCCAGGATCTCCCATTCCTG